CCAGAAAAACAAGATTATGCATACGATTTTCATCGCATAAAATTGCATAAATATCCCGCATATTCCATCGCATTTTTAAAGAAAACAGGCCGCGTAATCAATCAATTTTTGCCCGCAACAATCACAAAAAAACTCACTTCCAAAAAACTAATTTTTGGAAATTACCACCACAGAATCAGTAATTTTGATCGCAAAAATCATAAAAAAAATCGTGAAATCCTGGAGGGACTGGCTAATCAATTCAGAGTGACACATCCACAACACCCTGTGAGTAATTTAAATTGTGTACTGCAATTAGAATGATTAATGATTGATTATGGAGCCTCTGCAGAGTTTGTATGATAGTATATAGTAAGTGTTGCTGATCTGTTTCAGCTGCTAAAGCCATTCCTGGAGGAAGTCTCGCGGGCATACATCACGTGTGCCAGATACTTGCAAAAAAAGCTGCCACTGCTTGCAAATTCTCCAGTACAATGTAAATCAGTCCCTGACCAGCTTCCAAGATGGAGATGATGTTGTGAGGTGGTGGGCCGGTGTACACGATACTGGAAAATATCCAGGCGTCAAGCAGTAAAACCTGCAATGTCAATATTCCATGGCCCATTAGTTGAATCTTCTTTTAATATAATGGGCAACATCATTGACCAGAAAAGTATTAACATCACCACATTCAGAGCTATCCAGACTGTCAAATATACTCTAAAGAGCAGAAAGCTGAGTGCTGTGGACATGTTTAGATGAGGTGATTCAAGGTGATTCATTTGAGCCAGTAGATCAAAGACTGTGTGGGAACATTATTTCGGGGGGAACCAGGGACAAAGCCCAGCGACAGCAAAAGCATCTGAAAGTCAGCTAAAGAAGGGCGGAGTTCGGCTGCCAGCCATTCACTAGTGCTGCCGTAAATTGGGCAGAAGATGTGGAGGAAGAAAGTGTGGCCCGAAAGAGGCACATGGCAAAACAGAGATAAAACTAGACCAGTTTTAAGGATGTTTTATGTTCAGTGGTTTTATATTCAGCCCTTCTGAGTTTGCAGGTATGCAGTATTTTACTGAAATTACAGCACAGCTGTAAAGTGGAAAATTTACAGGCACATTACTGTGTACAAATGATAAAATACAACCGTTAACCATTTTTAATAAAATATTTATTATTTAAAATACTCATTACACAGTAAATTAAACAATCTTAAACAGAACAAATTATTTAGAGTCATTTTTTAATTTTTATTAAATAAGCATGTCTCACCAATTGTCATAATTGATAAATATGCACAGGAATAACATCAGTCAAAGGAGCCTGATTTTTTGCTTGCTTTAACATATTGAACATTATTTGATGCTTTTGTTTTGAAGCTTATGAAAGTCGGGCTCCATTGACTGATATTGCATCACCTTGTGTTAATATTTAATGTAAACATTCATTTTGTTATTCTTCGTCTCAGACAGACATCAATATATAAAATAATACATTGACAATTGACATGAAACTCCGGACACTGTAAACACAAATTCTGGAAAACACAACACTTCTGGCAAATAAATTCATGATAGAAAGAGAAATAAAATAAATGCATGATAGAAAGAGAAATAAAATAAGTTTGTTCATTACAATAAGGCAACATATTTGGATTAAAATCTTCCAATGATCATACTGAGTCAAGTCAAGGCTGTGAACGTCAGATATACCTGAAATATGTTTTAGTAAAGTAGTTTGGTAACACTTTATTTTACACTGTCCTTATCACATGTAGTCACTGTAGTAACGACTATTATAAATGATTAAACCCTAATCCTACCCTAACCCTATAGTAAGTACATGTTGTTAATTAAAATGACTCATTAATTAATAACTATAATTACACTGCAATAAAGACACTTTTAAATAAAGTGTAACAGCAGTGTGCTGATGTGTTTTGAAACAATCATCTCGTTCACAACTGACAGTTATAGCCATAAATAAGTGAAACTTTTGCTTGGTCTTGACATTAACAGAAAACGCCTTCCAACAGAACTAGGCAAACAACACTTCAGTGCCTGTTAAATATGATAATTTCTGTAACTTCTGAGATTGGAATGAAGAATCGACTGATGTCATGAGGTCAACATATGAAGTCACATGTTGCTTTCTGCGAGAAACTCGGCACGTGTGGGATCTGCAGTTTCCACGACGCTCTCCTCTGTGGATGGCGCAGCGGAAAAGGGTTATGACTCTTTGCCGCCCCTTGAAGAGGCCGTGGCCGTTCATCTTTAACCGAGCACTGCAGCTAGCGGGCGAGCTAAAGCCACTCATCCCAACAAACCCTGCCGAAACACCTCAGCCCTCGCGCGTCGGCAGTGAGAAGCAGCGTGGGTCCTGTGCTTCGCACCGAAGTTCAGAATTTATTAGCAAAAGGAGCAATAGAATTAGTCCCTCCCACGGTACAGTAATCAGGGTTTTACAGCTGCTATTTTCTAATCGCAAAGAAAGACAACGGACTCAGACCCATACTAGATTTGAGACATTTGAACAAGGCTCTCATGAGACGGCCTTTCAAAATGTTAACACTCAAACAAATTCTCGGGCAACATCACCGGGGCGATTGGTTTGTTACAATGGATCTGAAAGATGCATATTTTCATATTCAGATCGACCCTCGTCACAGGCCATTCTTGAGATTCGCCTTTGAGGGGAGGGCATATAAATACACCATTCTGCCGTTCGGTCTGTCCCTGGCACCCTACACATTCACGAAATGTATGGATGCAGCGCTCTCCCCACTGAAAAGTCAGTGCTGAATTATCTCGACGACTGGCTTGCGCTGGCACCGTCAGCGAGAGACGATCTGATAGTTCACAAGGATTTGATTCTCGGCCATCTAAAATACCTGGGCTCACAATCAATAGCCGCTTTCCGACCGGAGGGACTTTTGCAGTTCCTAGAACCTAACGTTCCTATAACCCTTTTTTTCTCATGCTCCGACCGGACTAAATTGGGGATTTTTTAGTTCCTCAGACCGTAGTTCCTATAACCAGTCCCTCCAGGATTTCACGATTTTTTTTGTGATTTTTGCGATCAAAATGACTGATTTTGTGGTGGTAATTTCCAAAAATTTGTGAAAAAATTTGCGATTTATATATAACATTTACCATAATAGTATTCAGTCCTTCCAGAAAAACGCTGAGTTTTTTTGTGATTGTTGCGGGCAAAAATTGATTGATTAGCCTGCTCGGCCCGTTTTCTTTAAAAATGCGATGGAATATGCGGGATATTTATGCAATTTTATGCGATGAAATTGCAGGAATTTGCAAAAATTGAGAGAACTTGCAAAAATTGCGGTTTGATGAAAAAGATTTCTCTTTTTCAGTGATTCCCCCAACATCCTGTTCTCACTCGGCTAATGTAAGAGTCATTTCTTATTACTTCCTTTGATAAGCAAGCATACTACATCATAGAAAGTGCTGGGAATATTTAATTTCTCATCTTGTTTTATTTCAGACTATAACGAGTGTAAATAAGGTGTGGCCCCTTTAAGAGCTGCGCGCTCCCTGTTGAACTCTCTGCAGTGATACGTGCGCCTCAAACGCCCCATGTGTGCGGGTAATTTCTGTTTGATGCTACTTCTTTTATCTTATGTTGTTTATTAAGTAACGATGTGACGGTAGAACGTGTGACAGACAGTTATACGAGTTCGATTTGTGAGATGTCAATCGGCTCTGTGAGTCTGTCCGGTGTCGCGTAATTGCGTCACTTCATAACGTTCCCATGGAAACAGAGGGAAATGGCTGCTCTTCTGTGAAGCAAACGGAACATTTTTTAACTTTCTACTAAAATACACGTGACTTTTTTTTGCAACGAAAATGCGAGGATTATGAAATTATGCAAACCCCGCATATTTTGCAAGGAAATCGGCAATTTATGCGGCGAAAGTGCGGCGTATTTGAAAAAATGCGGCCCCCGCATAAATATGCGGACTTTGGCTGATTTTGCATTGAATTCAGCGATCGCATAATCGCGTTTTTCTGGAGGGACTGTATAACTCTTTCAGTACCTAGTCTAGAACGAGGACTTTTTTAGTTCCCTTTCCCTAGGTCTACGTTGATTGGTTCAACTTATAAGTCATGCCCACTGTCAACACGGACGGAACTTGTAGCGCACTGTCTGCCATACGCTGTGTGTTTACAAAACATTACAACGAGGATTAAGACAAACATAACGCATTCAACCAACTAATTGCTAATGCTAGCTAAACTTACCCGTCATTTTGTTTGCCTCCTGCGCTCTGCTCTTTTATCTTCTTCCATCATATTACTTAATATCATATTACGCTGGAGCCTTCGTCTTCTGTGTTTCTCTGTACAGAACTCAAGCAGAATCTTTAAACGTCGCCGTTCATTCTCTGTTATTAAGGTCCCAGCAAGGCAGAACAGGAACATTGCAATAGCCTCCACCATGCTGGTTTGTTGTTGTTGTACGTATGTGGCCGCACTACAATGACGCTATAAAGAACGTCGCCGTGCTTGCTCCTATGGCCACTTGGCCAGTATGAACGCAAGCAGCAAAACCGAGTTGAAGTGGTTAGAAGTGGACAGTTCCTATAACTAAGTTCCTGTAACTACTTGGTCGGAAAGCGGCTATTGTTACCAAGAGCGAACTGACCCCAAGCCAGACTGTAGTCTTTCTGGGCACGGTTTTAAACTCTGTGACAATGAAATCGCAGCTCACTCAAGCGCACGCGCTCTCTATATAGACACCGGCAGCTACGTTCAGGGAGCGCCTCTGAAGAAATTTCTGAAACTGTTTGGTCTAATGGCAGTTGCATTATCAGTTCTCCACTTGGGATTACTGCGCATGTGCCCGCTGCAGCACTGGCTGAAACGTTGTGTGCCAACCCATGCATGGCAGTCAAGCAACCTGTGCATTATGGTGAATTATGGGGGTGGTGATATGGGAGTGAATAAGACACATGCCTTTAGTACCAATGTGTCCCTGAGCAAGACACTTAACCCCTAGTTGCTCCAGAGGCGTGCGACCTCTGACATATATAGCAATTGTAAGTCGCTTTGGATAAAAGCCTCAGCTAAATGAATACATGTAAATGTGAATCACGGGTGTTTAAGAACACTGATTCCCTGATGGTCTCAGGACTGGTACCACAATGGGGTGACCATGGGAGTAGATTCCAGAAAGAAAGGTGGTTTTTACAGACACGTCCAATTTCGAGGCCTGCACGAGGGCAAGCCTCGTTACATATCAACTGTCTGGAAATGAAAGCAGCTGGTTTGGCCCTGAAAGCTTTTTGTATCAAACTTCAGGGGGTCACCACGTCCTAGTCTGTACGGACAACATGTCAGTGGTGGCATACATTTCCATGGTGGCATCAGGTCAGGTAACCTGCATGCTAGGTGAGCGACCTCCTGTGGGCACAGGCCAGTCTGAGCTCTCTGAGAGCAGCGCACATCCCGGGTGTCCAAAATCTGAGTGCGAATATGCTCTCACGGGGCAACACTCCCCTAAGCGAGTGGTCCCTGAACCCTCAGACGGGCAGTCTAATATGGGAGATGTTCGGCGAGGCCGAGTTCATCAGTGTGTGTTCAGTCTTGCACTTTATTCACAGAATAAAACATTTTGAAAGATAATTGCGACTTAATTTCTCAGAATTGCGTGTAATAGTCAGAATATGTTTTCTTTTTTTTTCTGTGGAAACAGGCTTTAATAATATGGGGCAAAGGGTGCATTCTGCAGAAAAGTTACATTTGTAATAACCAGGGAAATTAAAACCATCATTACAGATTAAAAAAACTGATCAAAATGTGGGATAATGATGATATTTGACCAGATTTTTATGAAAGAAATTTTCTTCAAAAATTCCATTTTATGTTCCTCAGGGGAGCTATACTTGCAATGAAGAAGTGATTGCTTAAATCCGTACCATTCAATTTAAATAGAAAGTGTTGCTTCTCAAAAAATACAGCCTTTTAATATTTTTATCTAATGTTAAAGTTATGCATAATGATAACTGCTCATCCAGTCACTCATTCATTCAGATATTGGTTTGCATTCCATGATCACATGTGAGAGCAGATCCATCTTCACTAGCCAGCAGCTTTGGAGCCTCTCTTTCTGAACTTGACCACCATCACAGTGATGTTGTCCGGACAGCCGCGGTAGAAGGACTGCAGGACGATGCTCTTCGCACCGAAGTGTGGCTCATCTAATCGCTCTTTGATGAAGTGCACAGCTTCCTCGCTGCTGAAGGCATCCCATAGTCCATCTGAGGCCAGAATCATGAACTGAGGCTGTAGTTTGTCCAGGTCAAAGTTCAGCACATCAGGGTCAGGGATCAGCACCTTCAGCTTCTTTAGAGGATAGTCGCCAAGTGAACGGGACATGGCAAGAACACCTTGCACACGCCAGGAGCCATTAAAACTGATGAAGCCACCTAAATCAGAGAAGCTGATTACTGCAGGATTAAACCAGGCCAGTCATTCAATAAAATAATTCAATGTGTTTCAAAAAGTAAAATGTTGTTATGATCTGTGTTGTATTATTTTCCTGTTATCACTGTGAAGCTGCTTTGATACAATCTGTATTGTAAAAAGCGCTATACAAATAAAGGTGACTTGACTTATGTTATGTAAGAAGTCATGAGCCATGTATTTCAGACACACACACACAATGACAGTTCTGCTAATAAATCTATAACATTTGCAGAACATATTTAATTCATTTCCTGCCATTGACAGAATTTTCCAGCTTTCAGTGTTTCCACTGTTATACTGTAGGTGGTGCTATTACACATCTTTTGAAAGAGTACAGCATCTCATGATCACAACACAGGTAAAGAAGAAGCAGAAACAAGCAATTTCATATGTAAATTAACGCGATAATCAACAATAAAAAACATATAAATCAAACTAATGTTACTGAAGCCCCTCAGTATCTGAGTGTAGGTCATTTAGAGCTAGAGCCCATCAGTTCATCTTCTGTAAGGTCTAGTTTCCCTGGTACTGGCTTCCTCTTATTACAAGAGGCGTCCAGCCTATGCCCGCCTTTGCACTATTTTGGTTTTCCTCTAGGCTCCTTGAATTAAAACTCAAGTCACAAGGTTGAATGTTGTTGCCCTGATAGTTGAGGCCTCCATTGCTCTCGGGCTTAGTAGAGAAACAAGTAAACTTGTCTTGTTATAAAGATAAATAGGCCTCGACCCCAAAAAACATTTTCTCAGGGTCATGCTGATAGTACTCCCATTGTTAGGGTGATTGTTAGAGTGCTTTACTACCCACAGCTCTAGTTTATTCACCCTTCACTACTGGTGCTCAGGTAAAGACACATCAAGTACTCCCTCCCATTTGGGTCGATTTTGAGTACACTTCATTAGAGCCTAAGCATCCATCCAGTGGATGACACTTTCTAAAAGGGAACCCTTTTGCTGTTCTGCCCTGCTGCAAACGAGATGGATAACCAGACAGCAGCTTCTGGCAGCGTTTCTGAGGAATCTGAGCCAATTTCTCATGACCAATGGCCTCCAGTTCAGTAATATTCTTGGGTTTGTGTCCTGCAGCCACCTTCAAATCACACCAGAGATTTTCTATGGGGTTCAAGTCAGGTGACTGTGATGCCACTGTAGACTCTTCCATGACTTCTTCTGCAACCAAGCCTTGGTGGAATTTGAGGTATGCTTGGGATCACTGTCCTGTTGAAAGGTCCAAGCTTCAGCTTCCTCATTGACGGCATGACGTTTTCTCCTAGGACTTCCTGATACTTCAATGAATCCATCTTGCCTTCCACATGCAGTAGGTTTCCAATGCCATAGGATGCAAACGTGACACTTAACAAACCTCTCTGTGAAGCTGCTTTGATACAATCTGTATTGTAAAAAGCACTATATAAATAAATGTGACTTGACTTGAACTAGCCAGTTCAGATATTTCATGTGTTCTAGCCTAAGCACACCTGGTGCACCTAATGTATCCCTTGATTAGTGAGACAACTTCTGTTTTGCGGGATTATATTGAAGGGGTTGAATAATTTTGAGACTGCAGAAGTCGTTCAAAGTTGTATTTTCAGTTGACTTTGGGGAAACACTATAAAAGTGAATTTTACATTATAGAGCCTCTTTAAATCAGTGTAAAGTAAGTATAACTACTACCCTAATGTATAAATACTTTACAATTAACACATTACAATAATACGATTTTTAGGGTAAAATGTTTTTAATTGATAGGACATCAATGTGACGATGCAAAAAACAATCCTAAACAATATTTAATATATATACACACGCATGACTGCAGTGGGCTTCTACTCACCTGCTTTCTTGATTCTCTTTCGCTCTTTGACCTGGTAGGGTTTGTGGTCATGTGACAATGGGACGGCATTACCGTCTTTATCGCACAGCACTGCCCTGGAATCGCCAACATTAGCTACAGTCAAGTCCTTTTCAGACAGCACAGCCACCAGACACGTGGTACCTGACCGAGGCACAAACTGGATGTGAGTGAGGCTCTAGGCTCAAATTACCTGTTTATAAGAACTCTTAGCCAGTTATCAATGGAAGCCCAGGCTGGTTTCATGCATGTCTGGTAATATTCTCAGTGCCGGTCAGCATGTATTTCAGCGTGTAGGTGTTGCCAGAATTGGTTTCCCCGATCCTCTAAAGTGGAATAACATCATCTGGGATTTTCGCTAACCTTCTACCTCTATTGTAATTATAATAATCAGGTTTTCAGAGTTTTAAAGACAGTAGTACATTAAACTACTATATGGGGTGGTTTCCCAGACCAAGATTAAAGGTTCTCTAAGCGATGTGGGGCCAAAACATTTTTTGTCACGTACATCAAACGTCTCCTCACTATCGGCTAGCTGCCTGTCCCCTAAACACACTGTAAAAAAACGCGGTCTCTGTAGACACAACAGGCTCCACACACGGCAACAAAAACAATCATGTCTTACCCGGACCACGAAACCTAACAGTGTTCCAGCCAATCACTGGCAAGAAGTATTTGAGGGTGGGTCTGGGGGGTTAGTGCGCGTGCACATGAAGGGTGTGTGTGTGTGAAGGAGATAGAAGCATCAGAGGGAAGTTTGAAAAATGGCCGACACACGACCAAAGAGACGTCGTTCTGAGGAACAAATTAAAAAGAAGAAGGAGTCGGATAAAGAACGTGTGAAGTTCCGAATTTACATCGGTAGCAAAGCTTTTGAACGATGGCGAGAACTCCGGCGGCAGAAGGGCTTCCAGTCCGACATTCAGGTTGCTCTGTTTTTGCTGGACAGGTGGGTAACGTTAAATAGTTTTTTTTTCTTCTAAATTGACGCTTTATGTTCGCCAAACCCACACAAGGATATAATTAGCTAGAACTATGCACGTTCACAATTATTTCAGGAAGCACGGAAGGGAGGGGGAGGAGATGAGATGCGGCGGAGGGAGGGTCTAGCTAGCCTCCGATTTGTTTGAAAATATTCCGAACGTCAACACCCAGGATCGCTCAGAGAACCTTTAAGCCTAGTCCTAGACTAAAATGGCCATTTAAATCAGATTAACAGAAATGTGCTTTCTCTGTCATGGTTTTAAAAAGTCTAAGACTAGGTCTAGTCCAGAATTTAAAAGGCTAATTTCCTGGAGGAAGACTAGTGCAACTTCAGGACTAAATTGAGGCTTAAATTAAACCTACCAGGAGGCAAGTTTAACTTCAGATTAATTTCATTTGGAGGACACATGGAATGTGTGTTTGATTAGGGAGAAAAAGAAATCGTGGAGTGTTGGTGGAACCTGTTTTCAGGACAGGTTTGAGAACCACTGGACTATGTCAGTTACCCCTTTTCCACCAAAAAAGAACTGGTTCGGAACTGGTGCTGGTTCAAAGTTGGTTCGGAGTTGGTTCAACTTACGAACCGCTTCAGAACCTATTTGTTTTTCCACTGACTAGAGCGCCCAGGGAACGACGTCGTTACGTCACTGTGTACGTTGCCATACGTCTTAGCTAGAAACGCTTTCAAGTACAACATTACTTTGGGATTATCGCTAACTCGTGTACCAAGAAAGCTTTAAAAACAATTGAAATATTTAAGTATTTTAATCTTTTCCTTTGATATGTAATCTTTTCTGATTAGTTATGTGTCCCTTTCTTGTGTCTTTTTTCTTTCCATTAATTTGTTCTATATCATGACTGTTTTCTTCTTTGCTTATGTTTTCAATAAAAAATAAATAAAATAAAAAAAATAAAAATAAAACGCTTGCGCCAACTTCAAGCATAACAATTGCAAAAACGGACATTGTGTTTCTGGAAATGTTTCTCCTGGCTTTGAGATGGTCAGAAAAGATGTTTAGAATACATCTAAACCCGCCCCAGCTTCCGACGTAAGTATGACTTGGTAAAAGAACGGTTCTAGTCCAGCAAAGAGTTGGTGCCACTTTGGAATCAGTTTTCCTGGCCGAGAACTGGTTCTTTGGCTGTCGAAACACAAAGAACTGGTTCGCGCGCAGGCACCAGCTCCGAACCGGCTCTCAAAATGCTTTGGTGGAAAAGGGGCTAGTGATGATCAGCACTTTCCACCAGCCAGGCAAGTTCTTGCAGACAGAAGTGACCCATTGCAACGTTTTGATGAAATAAGTTTTCGAGATTGTTTCCACATGCATAAAGTAAATGCAGTGAAGATAATTTCACTCTTAGAACCCAGGCTTTCAACTGTGACCCAAAGAGGACAGCCTATTCCAGTTTGTCTCCAGGTGCTCATAACTTTAAGGTTCTTGGCATGTAGCACCTTTCATCGAGAAACTGGGGATTTATGTTGTGTCAGTGAACCAACGGTGTGTAAAGTCATTCACAGAGTGTGCAGGGCCATATGTGAATTAAAAGCACATTACATAAACTTCACTGATGCTAGAATCCAGGCTAACTACAAGGTACTATTCTATGAATATGGATAGTTCCCAGGAGTCTTAAGTTGCATAGATCGAACCCATATTCCCATTAAAGCAACACCAAGTAAGTTTCCTTCTGCGGTCGCCCTACAGGTTGGAAGTGGAATTGTCCATTACCACTGTGGTAAATAATTTATCCTACCGCAGCCTACTGTCGCACTCACGCTCGCTGTTTAACGATGTCCACAGAGAAGGTAGAGTATGTTGCATGATTTCATGAAAGTATGATGTATTGCGACATTAGAAATGAAGAAAAAGATAATAATGACTATTTATAACACTTTACGTAAAGCAAGTCAAATTTGTAGTTTTTCATGTCTCATCAGAACTACGACCTGATCTGGATCTTACATAGCGTGGTTATAGCAGATATAGGACCGCAAAGTGCCTTTCACCCTGTTAGGATTTGATAAAAGACAGAAACTATTTTGGAAACATTATTTTAAGGTAAAAAACTTACTTAGCGTTGCTTTAAGCGTCCCTCTACTCCAGATGCTGAGGAATACAGGAACCGAAAGAACTGGTTTTCCATAAATGTCCAAGGTGTATGCACTCCCCTGTTAGTTTTCAAACATTGTTGGAAAGATGCAACTCATGATTCATGAATTTTCCTCAACTCATCTCCGTATACTCAATTTGAAAGAAGAGATCATAATGGAATTTTGCTTGGTGATAGTGGGTGTGCTCAGAAGGATTTCTTGTTTACGCCATACTTGCACCCAACAACAGCTGAACAACTGCGCTACAACCAGGCTCATATACAGGCTCATGGAAGAGTCGTTTTCAGTGCCTTAAGAAAAACACTCGGATTCAAACCAAGTAGATGCTGCACTGTCATCAACAGCAACAGCTGTTCTTCACAATGACCTAAAAAAGCAGGGATGCCCAGATCCCCAAATAATCCAGATGTGCCACCATTTACAACAAACCACAGAGAAGGACTTGCATACCGGGATGCTTTTGCATTGTGCCACTTTAAATATATATTTGATTTAACTTTCAACCCTCTGTTCAGATGTGATACATGTAATAATAAAACCAAATATTTGTTAAAATTGTAAAACTCTTTGGTCTGGTATGTTTCTGAAACCACCACATCCATCCATCTTTTCTTAATAAAACAATATTTATTTCACAGATTCATGTACTGATGTGACATTTGAGCCTGTTGCATCTCTCTCTCTCTCTCTCTCTCTCTCTCTCTCTCTCTGTGTGGCTGCGTCCAAAACCGCATACTCAATTAGTAGGTACTTAATTTCAATAAGTACTTACTCAACGAGCGCTAAAAGAGTAGGTACTTTATAGCCAAATCTCGTTGAGTATGAATGAGAACCGGACATCTGCCATGTTGACGTTATCATGTGACCTACTACGACGCGTTATCATCATATCACAAGCGCAAAGAAATGAACAGCGACACGTTTAATTCTTCTATCTATAAATATCTTGACATTGATGAAACTTTCTCATTTTGTTGTGGTATTGTTGAAGAAACAGCTGATATTTTTTTTTATTAAGAAACCCCCAAATCGTCACCTCTTGAATATATGTTGTTAATTTATTTATTTTATACCCAAAACGTTTCTCCTTTAAGTTTTCCTCCTTTTCTTGATGAATTTACCTCGTTTCATCCCTCAGACCTATAACAACAAAACAACAACATTTTTCATGTATTATGAAGAACTATTTAAAGATATTTAGCCTTGTTATTGTTCCTTTTTCCTGTATTATGATGTAAACAAACCAATGATCTTTATGTTTTCTGTTTTGTCATTATGACTATTATGGTATCTTTCCATGATCTTGTATGTAATACGTTTATAAGTTTAAATTATGAGTGACAGGTGTACTAACACTTCATAACATCAGTGACTCGACAGCACAACCTAGAACAGTTTTCCTCTGCGTTTGTAATGTCTGCACAAAGGAGACGGGCAGCTGCTCGAAGATCTCTTTTGGAGAAAACTGTTGATTTTATACTCGAAAAATGTAAGTATCACTCCTTAAAAATTAATATTACCTCAGAATGAATTGCATTGTTAGCCCACCCCAAAACTTAAACAAAATAATAATATTAAATGCTGACCAATACTTAATTATATAACTTTTTTATATACTAAAAATATAATTTAATATAACAAGCAAAATGTAATTTGTTTTGTCATATGACAGTTATGCATGAATACATTTATATTCATAAATGCAGTGAAACATCTCAATTATCAGTCAATCGATGAATTAATGGATACATTAATTAAATAATTCAATTTTATATACTGACAACAATAATAAAAATGAATAAATGAGTAAAAGAACAAATAAAAGTAACCATCACAATAAACAAATGCATTATACAAGTCAACAACACATGAAACAAAGCTTTATTCAAACTACAAGCATGTATTTACAGGGCTGAACACCACATCCTAATGCCGTCTCAACACAGCGGTTCCCATTCTGCGGCTTTATTCTGATGAATTCACCAGAGGGGACTGTGCCTTCGTCCCGGAGCTTGTTGCTGCGCTGCGCTTCACAATCTGAGGCAATAAGGGCAGGTGGAGAGATAGAGGGTCTTGTAAGGGCAGGTGGAGAGATGGAGGGACTCATCCATGGCACCACTTCCAGGATGCAGCTCTAGGCTCCTCATCCTCAGTGCTCACACCAGTCTGCAGACATTTCAGATCCTACAAAAATGCACAAACATTATACAAAAGCAGTAATTTTAACACAATGTCATTTGATTTATGTATTAAAAATAACCTTACTTTATATTTGAGTAAAATCCCTAAAACAAATGCTGCCATCATCTTTCCTTGCAGGTCTTGCTCCACCACAAAAGCTATGCAGCAAATGCACAGAAATCAAGAATCAGAAAAGTGTTGTAATTTCTCTACTTGAAATTTGTACAATAATTCAAATAAACTACAATTTAAGATTGAATAGATTTTGTTATCCATTTCTGTAGTATACTCACTCAGAGCCTTTCATGACAGCATTCAGCATCATGAGCCTCTCTCCAGCAGATAAACACACGCGTGTTCTTCTGTCCCTGTAACATACAGACAAGATTCACATTACGAGTTCAACACTGAATTTACATGCTGAGGTTGATGTGTTAACTCACTTTTAATCCAACTTAAATGTTCCTCAATATATCAACACTAATAAGGGACAAATTAAATATAACATATTTAGTTACTTTATAGATTTGTTTATTTACCTTATTTACAGTAGGCCTACATTTGTGTAATGTAAGTAGTGTTGACAACAGTGAATTATCCTTCATATTAATAGCACACATAACGTTACATCACTCAGATGTATTTTTCATGTTGGGATGTGCTCATCTGCAATACTTAAACAATATTTTCATTTCAGATGTAAATAGACATTTTAAATAAGCGTATTTAAGATGTAACGTTATATGGTTATGTAAATCCATTTTAGAAACTTACGTGTAGCGTACTTACTGGAGCTCCCCAGTTTAACTAACTAATAAAACATGTGTTTACAGCAAAATCACAACTATACTATACTGTCTAAGTCCTTTAGACCTTCAACAGTTAAAACGTTTACTCTATAGTAGTTTAACACATACGATTTAAACACAAGAAACCGTGTTTACTCACATTTGAAAACCCCTGCTGATCTCCGATGTTGATAATTACGTATGCTCTCCCGTGGCCTTCTGGGATAGAAGAGTATCCATCGGATGAACACTCAAAAATCGGGGCGAAAGCAGGAGATCATCCGGGAACTTCTCGCCTACTCTTTTATGAGTACTGAGGTTTCGGACATACTACTCCTTTCAAATACTGTTTCCCCCTACTATATAGTACGAAAGTAGGAATATTTGGACGTACTATAAGTATACGTATGCCCGAATCTCGCGATAATTAGTACGTCACTCTGGTAATTCTCGCCTACTCTTTTATGGATACTAAGGATTTGGACATACTTATTCGCTCGCCTACTGCTTTTTCCATACTATATAGTAGGGAAGTATGCGGTTTCGGACGCAGCCTGTGTCTCTCTCTCCCCTTCATCTTTATCTCCAGTTCTACTTGTAGTATCTTCATCTTCATTTCATGCTCCTTCTTAAGATACTTAAATTTGAAGACAATTCAATTGCAAATCATTAGCCAACTTTTCATGAACAGCGAGTCTTTTCTTCTGGTTACCAGTATTGACAGACATTGCCACCCTCACTTCTGTGGATGTGGAGGGTAAGCTGCTTTCCAATTCCTCAGTTCTGTTTTGACCTCCTTGAAACATGAACGGCTCATATATGGTCAAATAAAAACAGATTAAATGGAAAAATGTTTAACATCATATGACAGAAGCAAATATAAGTTTGAGAGGAGAGAAACAAAAGCCAAAATCAAATTCAAATACTTAATATAGGTGCATGTGATCCATCATCTGAACTGTCCAGATGCTCATCATCTGGTATGTTTTCCAAAGGTTGCTGATTCTCCAGTATTCCTGTCAGTAACTCATCCAACACATCAGTCTTTATTTGCAAGTCCTTCGCCAGTCTTAAACCTCTCTCTTCGAACTTCAGCAATAGTTTTTTTTGTTTGTTTTTAAAATATTTTTCTATAACACTTGTATTAAATAACTATTATAAATACAACGGTGATTTTAAAAAGCCATAAAACTAATGATTCTTACCTGAAGTTGCTGTATTGTTCTTGTAGATGCATGTTAATTTGCATTAAATTCATTATAAATAGATGTCCAGGCATTCCTTTTCTTTGATTCAACAGCTGATGTTTGCCGTTTATCCTCGATATCAGGATGTCTCGATCCTATTTTCTTTAAAAGACTTTTCTCATGTTCAGAAAAGTTCTTTGATCGCTCTCTCTTTTCAATTTCCATTGCCATTTGCTTCTCAGTTGCATACAATTTTAACCTTTTCTTTGTTCATTCCATGTTTTATAGCAGGCAACCTCAATCCAGCTAATCCTGGTTTGCACAGGTGGTATTAAATTATTCGAGTATACTTTAGTTGAGGACTCCATAGTCCAGGCCCAGACAGCAAACTGACATTGAATCAACGTGGAAACGACGTCTCTGATGACATTGAAACAACGTTGATTTTGCTCATCGAATTAACGTTGAACCAACGTCAGACGCGGCATTCTTCAAAGCTAATTGAAAATCGAAAATTGGTTTGCTTTCATAACGTTGAAACAACGCGTTGATTTAAAGTTGATTTTCCGTTAGTTTTGAAAGAATGACGCGTCTGACGTTGGTTCAACGTTAATTCGATGAGCAAAACAATGTCAGATCAACGTTGTTTCGATGTCATATTTCCACGTTGATTCAATGTCAGTTTGCTATCTGGGGGTGTTTGTAGTTAATCTGTGTTCACAGAAAGCCATTTTTAAAGACATGATTAACTATTCTAGATTCTTTAATCTTGGTCGGGGAAACCACCCCATAATGTCTTAACCTCAAATTAGAAATACCAACTAATTCGTCCAGTAATAAAACAAGTGAAATATTTATGAGAGAGTCATTGAATCATTCATTTAACCAATGTAAAAAAAAATATGTGGGTGCATATATATTTAACTGAATTTTAATCTCAATTTATCCAGAATCATGCGATACTGAATACTGTCAGGTACCTTTTTCAAAGCAGCACAGAGTATGACATGACCTCATCACGTCATGTTTGATTCTCAGGTCGAAGGTCAAATTGTCATAGACTTGCTCTTAGTATATCGTGATTCTGAGCCATCCATCTCTCACCTGCTTCATCATAAGAGGCCGAAAGTTTCTCCAGCATCTCTTTGTCCATGTTGAGTATCTGCTGCCTGAGGATGGACTGAGGAGTACGAGCACTGTTTTCTTTCTGAAGCTGCTGGCGCAACATGACGGGAAGATGAGACTTGGCGTACTCTGCAGCTGCCTGAGAGACAAACACAGATAACATTTCTCATTCTTGAGCAATACTTCAGGGGATTCACATCAATTTATGAACACACTCTCCTGCGCATGACTGTGGTCATTTTGGTGTTCATCATAAAGTGCATCTGGGAAGTATTCACAGCTATTCACTTCTTCTTCCCCATTTTGTTATGTTACAGCCTTATTCCAAAATGGATTCAATTATTTTCCTCAAAATTCTACAAACAATACCAAAAAAACAAACGATCTGACGGGTTTTAGAAGATTAAATACAACCCGAAACTAAAAAAACCAGACCCGGCCTCTATTTGAGACCTGCTTTTATTTACCCAAACTTGCAGCCACACCAGGCGTGTAAATATAGACAGGCGTCTGTTTGGGACTCGGATATTATTTGAAGTTTTATGGTATATATGGAGTGAACTAAACAATATGAGATACAGCTGAATGTGATAATGAAGGTTGATGAGTCCGGGCAGGGAGTTATGGGAAATGTAGTTGTGAGTTAATAATAATCATCATGATGTGGAGTGCCCTCAGGTGGCTCTCAAGGGCACTTCAGCTGATGACCGTTACAACCATAGATATCTATATAAAGGCTAGATATGTCGTCCACGCTGCTGGCCAATGGAGGTCGACGTCTGCACCTGGCGGCCATCTTGTCACAGGCAGCTCGCTCACTCGTAACATTGTGTTAATGGTACAATACATGTACTATTTAAATGACCATAGCTTGCTCAATTTTCTACCGATTTTCAAACGGTTAGTTTTGTTATAAACGTCAGAGATGTAGTTATGACACTGCATACTTATGAATAAAAAGTGTACAAATAAACAATCATCCAGATAATTATAGCCACGTTAATAACGTTTGTAAGAAACCAAACCGTTTGTAAATCCGTCAAGATTTTAACGAGATAAGAGTATTTGTGTTCGTGCTGACCACTCATCTTACATCAGCTTGTCTGTGACAAGATGGCCGCCGGTGATGACAATGCTCCGCCATAACACATCTAGCCTTTATATGCATATCTATGGTTACAACTAACTTCTTTACTAATAGATTCTAAAGCAATTGAGTTTAATGAAAGCATAAATATGAGGGGTATGAAACATGAAATTGTTGAATTGAGTGCAACTGGTCAATATAACTGATATACCTTCATCAACATCATAAACAGAGATTCTGTGAACATTGTAATCTTTTTTAATCTAACGCATACATTAGTGAAGGATTTGATGATGACTGAAGTCTGAACTATTCCCTTTCCCAACCCATCTGAAGAATTTCACAGCACTTCAACTTCACATGTTATTGATCTTCATCAAAGGTTGTCCATCCTCTCTGAACTGAAAATATTCGGCCCATATGATTGTATTTATCAGCACATGAGATCCATCTACGACGCGCTGGAGTAATTCCTGCTCCCCCTTTCCTTTCACTGGCAACATTTACACGCACAACTTATGTTTCAATCTGACTGAATTCATTCTGATTGATGAATAGTGTTTACATGAACGCTGAACATGTGATTGATGTGCGGGTTTATATGTCACAGGCTTCAAATCTGAAAATATTGTTTAACATGCGCACACTGCACAAATATACAGTTTCCTGCTGTTTGCACATAAAAAACTATTCTCCTACATTGGTTCTTTATAAACAGCAGACATATTTGTCTCTGGTCATAATTTGGAGACGATGAGCATGTGAACTGTTGTGCCGCTGCTTATATTTATCACGCAGTAAACATGCCCGACACCAGTCTTCTGTAGATGAGAGTCTGAAACAAGCACTGGTGGGACGTCGTCCAGCTCCACTTCATAGACACTGAAGAGTGAAAGGGGAATTTATTGATATTACGCTTTATTCAACAGGAAGAACGGCTTGTCCCGCGTGTCAAACATCTTTGCACTATTTCTACACCATTGCACATGTGCAGTCCTTTCAGTTTCGGTTTTCAATTTGATCAAGTGTTTACATGTTCTCTCAATCGGATTAGAAAAGAAATAAACCACCACTTTCAATTGGAGTTAAATTTCATTGGGATCGAGCTCAGTTCGATCGATTAAGTTGTTCACATTAGGTTGTGCTGTCAATCTGATTTCTAACGGACAGTGTTGTAGTACTCGAGACTCGGACTCGTCTCGGTCTCGAGACCATATTTTAATGGTCTTGGTCTTGTCATGGACTCGTGTGCATTTGGACTCGGAATTGACTCGTACTCGAAAATTTTTTTTTTAGGACTCAGACTTATTCCCGAGTCCACTCGAGTTCAATTCAAAATATTTTTCATGATTATTAATGTATGTTAATAAAATATTTCTTTAAATTGATTGACACGCCCAGTGATTGGTGATTTTCTAGTGCGCAACTGCGCATGACAAATTGTAATAAAATTACTTTTAACACCACCTACTATGTGGCCTTTTTACCCTAAACTGATCATATTTTTTAAACTCTAAGTAAATTCAGTAAAAAAAAAGGATTTCTCTAAGTAAATAAAAGTAAATTAGGTAATCAACCCTCACTGGTCTCGGTCTCGACTCGGACTCGACCGTCTCTGGTCTCGGACTCGACTCGGACTCGACCGTCTCTGGTCTCGGTCTGGACTCGGACTCGACTCTCTATGGACTCGGTCTTGACTCGGACTCGACTCTCTATGGACTCGGTCTCGACTCGGACTCGACTCTCTATGGACTCGGACTCGACTCTCTATGGACTCAGTCTTGACTCGGTCTCGACTCTCTATGGACTCGGTCTTGACTCGGACTCGACTCTCTATGGACTCAGTCTTGACTCGGTCTCGACTCTCTATGGACTCGGTCTTGACTCGGACTCGACTCTCTCTGGTCTCTGTCTCGACTCGGATTCGAGTGAGGTGGTCTCGACTACAACACTGCTAACGGATTTTTTGGTTGCATGTAAACGTGGCCACTGCCTGACAGTCCGACTGAAAACTTTACAAAATATACAAATTTTTTTTGTAAATCTCAACTGTAATCAGAAGCACACACACCCACACGATCTTCCTGTACTGGAAAAGGATTAATAATCTCCTCTGATCTGAGTTATCACCAGTTAGCACAATGCTTAGCTTGCACACACACGTTTAATTTAAATTAGCTTTAAAGTGAATTATTTTTTTATTTTAAGTTCAATTTACAGTCTGTTGGGGAAAAAAAAGTTTCCATAGATGGATGAAATCCAGCTGTGCATCACCTTTCCATCATATGGCAGCGTCCAAACATGTGTTCAGCGGAAACAGACCTTTATCTTTAGGGAAACACAGATGTGTGGAGGGAAAATAAGACAGAACAACAGTTCAGTGCTTAGTTTGAGAGTCAACGAGTGCCTCAGTGTTGTGCACTACACATACTCATGAAGTCTTCACTGGTCCCGCACCGAAAAAAGCTCCCCATAAGAAACTCCGGCCAGAATTAAAAGTTCTGCCGCAAAGGTTCCGCCTCCATAAATGTCTCCTGTGACTCGGATTTCATTAAAAAAAATCTTAATTTGTGTTCTGAATTTAAAACGAATGTCTTATGGGTTCAGATCGAGATGAGGGTGAGTAATTAATGACTGAATTTTTATTTTAGGGTGAACAGACCCTTTCATTAAATTTGCCAATAAACAGAATATTCAGCAACAAACCTCTCTTGAATCCATTAAAATCAAATTTGACGAAAGTGATGGTACGAAATTATAATATCATAAGATGCTACTGAATGAGACATTAGCATGTAACAAGCTGCTTCGAAGTCGATGATATTTTCTTGAACATGTCCAAAGAAAGCATATTGTGCAAGTTTGTAGTTGTGGTGGTGGTTACCACTTACAAAAAAACAAAATGCCACTAGAAAGAAAGAGAAATACACATGCATGCGCAGACAGACAGGCACACATACACACACACACAGAGAGAGAGAGGGGGGCATGCACAGACAAACAGGCAGACAGATGCATGCACACACACATATACAGATGCATGCACACACACACAAATATTTTCATGTTATCACTGTGAAGCTGCTTTGATACAATCTGTAATGTAAAAAGCGCTATATAAATAAATGGGACTTGACTTGACAAATAGGTGCACACACACACACACACACACACACAGATGTTTACCTTTCCCCCATGCCCGTCGAAAATGCCAAAGATGTCCGGATGGCTATAGTTGAGTGTGTCCGTGAAGATGAGGAACCGGTCCTCCATGTGATCTCTCCTGCCCTGGATCGAGTACACCGCAACAGAGCTGCTCCTGAACTCCCATGTCCTGGAGAAGGAGATCATCTCCCTCACCCTGCCCTTCATCATGTTCATCTGCTCCTCCAGCACCATCTCCCTCACCCTGCCCTTCATCATGTGCACCGCGTCACGGCTGGACCGCACGATGGTCTTCACCTCCTCCGTGTGGAAGAAGAAGAAGCTCCAGAGAGCCAGAGACACACACAGCAGGAGCAGGAGGAGGAGAGTCTCGGGCCGCAGCAGCAGAGAGCGCATGATCCGGGCCAGCAGAGACAGCACACTCATGCTCTCACACACACTCACACTCAACTAATGCACATCAGAGGCTCATGCTCTCCTCCTCCGGCGAGCACCCGCACACACACACACTCAACTAATGCACATCAGACACTCATGCTCTCCTCCGGCACACACTCTGCGCTAATGACAGCAGAATGACTGCACACATCAAACATCTGTAAATCTTAAGACTTTTCCTTTGAAAAAATAAGCAGATACAATGCTCTTTCCTTTAAAAATGGTAAATAAATGCTGTGTTTGTTTAGTCCTCCAGCTCTTCTGCGTACTGTGTGCTTGCAGCTCGGTGCGCGTGTATGTTTGACAACCAGACAGACAGGCCTATTTCATCAGTACTACTGCTGGTTGATGTCTGTGAGACAGACACACGACGATGATCAGTTGCTCCAATGTTGCTACAGCACCCGAAAAAAAAAAAAACACTAAACCAAAACAAACTGCCTGTCAAAATAAAAGTCCAAACTTTGTGCTAGAATAGTTGGCAAAATTTACCTGGAGGTAAAATTGCCATGTGATAAAAAATGGATTGTACGTACATTACTTTATCTCCATTATTATTCACATACCTACCAAATAAATAGGCTAAATGAACAAAATATTTATTTGATTTGTAATTATTTAACTATGTGAGAAAAAAGTGCAAATAAGAGAGACATGAAAGAACTATTAAGGAAATCACTAACCTGGGACTGAGAGTCAACTGCGCTGTTTACATTTGGTTTATGTGTTCTTGAGGGATTTATTCAAACACTAGTAGCCAGGTCAGATACACTGATGAGCCATCACATTATTTCAAATCACAGGTGAAGCAAATATGTTGATCCTCAAAATCAAACCACAAACCGGAGACAGGGTTGCTGCAAGGGCAATGAAGGCTATAACGTCTGATCCGAGCCAACAGAAGGTCTACTGTGGCACAAGTCACAAAAATGTTAATGGTAGGAATGTGTCTACAGTAGGGTTGCCAACTTTCTGATTTCTGATTGAAATAAGGAAAGGGGGGGGGGGGGGTAATTGGGTCACTTATTAGGCCTATATTAATTTATAGAATAGCAAAGTATGCCTAATCAATGACTGTACCATGTATTCTAGATATATGAAGGCTATCATGATAATTTTGCCAACAATGAACCATGGATTTATTTAGTTTATAATTTTTTTTTGTTGTTGAATTAATCACGCGATAAGCATGGCTATCTGTTTTCTCCTAAATAAAAGCTCAAGGGTTTATTTCTTGTAAGTGTAGAAATAGGACAAAAGTATTTTAATTTTCCTATATTATAGTGTAATGTTGATTAAAATATACTTTTTAAATATTCCTTTTCATTTATATAGTAGCCTATATAGGCTATATGGATTTTACGTCATAGGAATAATTATACAAATCATTATTACATTATTATAATAATTGTTTGGCATCCTAAAACACCATTGATAATGTAATGTAGACTGAGACTCTCACAACTAAAAAGATGTTTGAGCCCTGTTTATTGTCCTAGTACAAATCAATGCTTTATCTTTGTTTAACGAGCAGTTCATGGGTTGAAGCTCTTAATTCTGATCTATCAAAGAGCACGAGACTGATGCATTTAACCTTAAAATGTAAAAAAAAAATTCTTGCAGGGGAGCAGTCAGTAAAACATAAGATTATCTTTTAAAATCAATTGAACGCGGAACAGTTTTTCCTGTGAGTGAGACTGGAAAACCCGTAGTGGATGAAATCGGAGTGATAACAGAACGCTTAGAGTGCAGAGAGGAATGTGCTCTGACTCCAGTCCTAGTTTTGCGTCCGCGCCGTTAGAAGCTCAAGCTTGCAGGCAAGATCGCTCTAGATTAGAGGATATTTTAACTAATTTGCTGTAAAACTAGTCGATCATGAGTGGAGTGGCTCAACTGGTGAGGTCTTCATTCATAGTCTGTCTGAGATATATTAGGAGATGTGTCTGTCATGGATTTGCACTGAACTGATTCTCAAAAATACGGGACAAAGTGCGTTCCGTATCAGTTCAATACGGAACAAGACTTTTATGTGACAAATAAGGAACGATTCCGTATTATACGGAACGGTTGGCAACTCTAGTCTACAGACAGTACATCACAGTCTACTGCAAATGGCACAATCAGAGAGGCTATGATGACCCCTGTCCACCGTCGAAAGAACCTACAACGGACACACGGCATCAGATAGGGTGACGGGACAGTCCCGAAATTGGGAGCTTTAGTTGTGTCCCACATTTCAGTCATGTCTTTATTATTATTATTATTTTCAACCCTGAAAATAAAATACCACAGTAACTGGAATTTAAAAATCTTTTTGTGAAGCCATCATGTTCAAGCTGTGAATATAACCAACCAACGCAATCGTAGAGAGAGGTTTTCCCGCTCATGACAACTCACTGGACAACGCAAGAACCTCAAGAGCTGCTCGAAGCTGCCCAAATGGATGATTCAAAGCATATAAAGCGAATATTTCCAACTAATGGAAACGGTCGAGCTTGATCACTATACACAGCAGAGTCATTATATAAGCCACCAAGATGGTTTGTACTTCAAAGAGAACACAGTCTTGTCTTTAGTTGAGTTAAAGATAACACTCATTTTGTACATTGATGATTTGGAAATAGCCAATCCACTAGGCACATCACACAAAATACACAAAATCTGTTCAGGATACTGGGCGCTTGCTGATCTTCCCAGTAAATACCGATCAGCCCTTCATGTGATTCAGCTTGCAGCTTTATGTAAAGTGACTGACATACAGACATTTGGCTAAAAAAGCACTTGGTCCTTTGTTGAGAGACCTCCGGACCCTTGAACGAGATGGGGTATTAATTGAGTCTATTGGTAAGGTAGTTCAAGGAACAGTCATGTGTGTGGTGTCTAACAATCTTGAAGCCCATGATTTGGCAGGCTTTTCAAAGTCTTTTACAGCAGATTCTGCACAGCGACACAAGCTAAACTTTAGACTCATGAAGTTTCAAGTGGCGAGTTGCTGTAATGCATAGGGATAGTCAGAGCCAGAATGGTGTTCAGGCAGATTGTATCCTGAAACAGGATCTAGAGTATTTTCATACTGTTACTGGCTTTCCACCTGATGCCCTCCACAATCTTTTTGAGGGCATCAGCAAGTATGCTGATGATTCTGTGATAATTAGCCTTTTGCAGGATCATGAGGAGGGCCATGGACCAGTTTTGGACAATTTTGTCTCATGGTGCAAGGACTCATATCTCCAACTCAATGTCTCTAAAACCAAAGATATGTGTATTGACTTTCGCCGTAACCCCCCAACCACAGCTCCAACTTTGATTAATGGAATGACGTTAGATGTGGTAAGACAATACAAGTATCTGGGTACCATTTTAGATGATAAACTGAACTTTGACACCAATGCAGACTATATATGCAAAAAAGCTAATCAGAGACTTTTCTTTTTAAGAAAGTTAAAAGGATTTAACGTTGATAGATCCCTTCTGAAAGCTTTTTATTCATCTTTTGTTGAGTCAATTTTAACCTTTGCTATGATCTGCTGGTTTGGCAATTTGAGTGTAATCAACAAAAACAGATTGGGAAAAACTGTAAGCATATGTCGGAAAATAATTGGTATTGATCTGAATAGCATTGAGCATACGCATAAGGTCAGAGCTACACAGAGGGCAATGGCCATTCTGGCTAACACCACTCACCCACTACACTCAGAGTTCTGCCTCCTACCATCAGGAAGGAGGTATACCTACCGAAAATGTGCCAGATCCAATAGATATTTGAAATCATTTGTTCCATTAGCTGTTGGGTTTCTCAACAAACTATAGGACATGTTACTTATTTATGTTTTATTTATTTATTTGTTTTTATCTATTTATTATCTCATGTTTTTATCTGTTTTTGGGTAAATGTGTATGTGTTGGCTACCTGTTGTGAACTAAATTGCCCCTTGGGGACATTAAAGATATTTCAACTTCATTGTGCCCGTAGAGCTCGCCCTGTGTATCTGAGAGATGATCAGTCGCAAATACTTCGCCCTTGAATATTTGAACAAGATAATTCTATCGTTTCCATACCAGCACACAGACAAGCTTGACAAACCTCATAAAATACCACAGACCTTCGCTGTAAAGAAAAGCATTGGTGGTAATAGCCATGAAAATGCCACGTTGCTTAGACTGCTCTCTTTGATTATTGGGAATGCAGTTACTACTGATGCGGCCCTCTTCTGCCCTGAGAGCATCTGTATAGTCATGGAGGATGAAATATTTGTGACTGGTCCCACACATCTGGCTGACTCATTTCTCCTGGTCTTTGGTCTATGCACTAGACCAACAGTTTCCAAAGAATATTAAGCTAACATTCACATTTATCCAAAGATGTGATGTGTCTTGAGGAAAATAAACCACTGAAAGGGCGTCTTTTGACGCTGAAGAATGATTTGTTCAATGAGTGAATCACCCAAAATGGACTATTTGTTGAGATGAGTATTGAGGAAGTTTTTCCCCCTCTTTACAAATGTAAACATTTGCCTCTTCTACCTCAGGTTTTAGATGTGACTCTGTTTGCCTCTTCTACCTCAGATTTAATTTATTGATTGTTTATAGATAAATATCACAACATTGACGTATTGCCCAGCCCAAGTTTTTGTACTGAATAACTTGTGGGAAACGACTGTTCAATTCATGCGCTATACATGATTACTGTTCTGTTGCCTAATGCCTACCTTGCAGTTGCCAGTTGAAGTACTGCCCAGTAGAAACCTGAGGGCTGTTTCACAAAAGCAGGGCCAAACCAGGCTCGGGAGGAGCGGCTATGTCAAGCCAGGTGTAAGTAATTCAGAAAAGTGGGTGTCAACAGCTTTCTTCAAGAGACCACACAGTCCATCACAGATTCATTGTGCTACAATCGATAAGTTGCGTGCGCCATACTTCACACCAAATGAGCAACATCTTTTAATGGAGACTTACGAGGAATTGAAGCACATCATACTCAAAAAAGGAAACACTGCCGCTATTATAAAGGAGCGAGAAAGGGCATGGCAAACAATAGCGGATCGACTGAATGCGCTACTGAAAACGTCACATTCAAGGAGTTACTTGTCATTTGCTCAAATGAACAACTGTAAACTTAAAAATGAACAGTAGAAGTCAATGTTGTAACATGTGCAAATCTGACAGCTGATTAATTTATGTTACTCTTTTTTGTTACACATCCTATCAATATTTATACAGAACACACATGACTGGACCAAAGAGGACCTGGCAACAGGTCAAGATCAAATATAAGAACATTTTGCAGACTGGTAAGTGTCTGATCAAATTTTGGGACCCAACAGTCTGCACAGGTAGCGGATGCCATCCCCAGAAAAGCAGTATAACGCTCTTGCAGGTAATTGTTGGGAAAA